GTGCGTGCATGGGGACTCATACGAGTTGGAAGACGAAGCGCTGTCGTTGGGCTGCACAAGGGCAGGCCAGCCGCCGCACGTGGGGAAGAAGTGTAATTTGGAACGTTGATCCCGGCGCAGCTACTATGCGTCGTAATAACGCTGTTTGTTGGTATGGATGTCGCAAATCCATTCTTGGTTGTCGACGTAGCGGCGGGGTTCACGCCAGAGGACCGCCTGTGAGCCCATGAAGGAATGTACTCCTTCACGTCCGCCTTCAGAACGGAGCTCATCCGGGCGTTGGCTGAGCCTGTGGTAGTGTGCAGGAAATAAACACGTCGGCTCGGGTTGAAGCAGCAGCCACCTCCTCCTGAGTTCCCTGTCTCTCTCGGAATCACAGGCACAGACGCACGACGATACTTCTGCGGGGCCCTCGTTGTGTGTGTTTTTGCCTGCCTCCTTTTCCCTTTTTGCTTTTTTTTTTTTTTTTTTTAATTCCTCCCCGCTTCACTTTTTACTTTTTTCTCTTTTGTTTGTTTGCGGGTTTCGCCCTCTTCGGCTGCTGCGGTGTTTTTGGGAGGGACGACACGAAAGGGGGTGAACTCTCCGCCTCGTGCAGCCACGCGTGTCTAAACGGGGAGGGGGGAGGCGTCGGTGTTTGCTTCCGCGTTATTGGAGTCGACTGTCTTCCCCCTGCGCGGCAAAAAAAAAAAAAAAAAAGGCAGGGAAAAAAAAGCGCAGGGCGGCGGAAGCGCTCAAGGCGTGCAGCTCCGCACGCGAAGTTGCCGACAAACGCATGAAGAACAGGAAAAAAAAAAAAAAAGCGGAAAAAACGTGAGTATTAAATGGTGGCAAAACAATGGGACGGCAAACTCAGCAGGCCACACCTCTCAACCCCCCGCCTCCGCCTCATATCACAATCACAAGCGTGAGGATCCGCCACCACCGTCTCCGTGGCTGCCTGTTTGTTATTTTTTATTTAAATTGCCGTCGTGCTGTCAACCACTTAAACACACTGAGAGAAAAAGAGAGAGAGAAACTCCCGGTCCACCTTCTATGGGGTGGGCAGGGAGGTAAAACGAAAAAGTAACCGACAGCGAAGGGAAGAGAACTCACGGCGTCACGCGCTGCGGATCACGCGGGAACAGCGAGACGAGGCGCACATTGCAGAGGCCAAGATATAACATCACCACACGCTCGAGGCCAACGCCAAATCCGCCGTGGGGCCATGCACCGAGACGAAATGAGTCCACGTAGTCTTTGATGGGCGAGAGATCAACACCGAGTGACTGCGCGCGCTTCAGCAAAAGTGATGAATCGTGAATACGCTGCGCCCCACTCGATATTTCCTCACCGCGGATAAACATGTCGTACGAGTTCGTGAAACGCTCATCGTCTGGAAACGGCATCGTGTAGAATGGTCGTGCAGCCGTTGGGAATAGATCGGAGATGAAGAAGTCCACGCCGTAGCGCTCCTTCACCAACTTACCGAGCAATTTCTCGTTGGTGGTGTTAATGTCATCGGTCAAAGACAACTTCTCCTCCAGAACGGTGTTCAGGAGTGCGATGCAGTGCGGGTAGTGGATGCGTAACATACGAGTTCCCATGTTGCGTACACGAGCCTTGTAAATATCGGTCGGCTCAACGGAGTCTTCAATGACGCCAACGCCCAACTCTTTGATTTTCTCCGGTGTCAATTGCCACAGCAATGGCTCAAAAGGGTACTGACGGCAAATCGCCTCAAGCTCTCCTGTATGTTTGGCAAGTTGTGCAAAAATGTAACAAAATAGCTCCTCAGCCGTGTCAAGTACCTCATAATAGTGTTCATTTATACGCATTTCCACATCTAGGCCAACAAATTCCGTCAGGTGGCGGTGGGTATTGCTGTTTTCTGCACGGAATACAGGCCCCACTTCAAAGACACGTTTCAAATCGCCTTGAAGGGCCATTTGTTTATACAGCTGTGGAGACTGGGCCAAATATGCGTCGCGGTTGAAGTATCCCACTTTGAACACATTGGCACCTCCCTCGCTCGCGGCGGCGATGATCTTCGGAGAATGAATCTCCACAAAGTCATGGTCCATCAGAAATTGACGAAAATATTGTCCCACCCTGGACTGCACCTTGAATATGGCGTTTGAGGCCGGTGTGCGCAGATCCAGCCAGCGGCAGCCCAGTCGGGTATCAAAGTTTATTTTAATGCCCTCATCTGTCTCGCGGCGCGACGCATCCTCCAGTGTGAAGGGAAGCACACGCAGCGCCTCGCTCAGAACATGAATCTTGTTAACCTTCAGCTCAATTTCCTGCTGCGAGGTGGAGGTTATGGGTTGCTCCACACCGCACACGATCGCCTCAACGTCCACAATAGACTCGCAAGGGATCTGTCCGATAAAATCAACCATTTCTTTTGGGACATCCTCCGCAACAGCCGCCATAGCTTGAATGGAGTCTGTGCCGTCGCGTAGAACCATGAAGGCGAGTTTGCCCTTCTTGCGTGTCGTGTCAACTCGAGCGCGAACAGTCACCGTTTTGCCCACATGCTCTTTGGTCAGTGCATAAATTTCACTAAACTTCTTGGAGCAGTACGTGGTCGACTGCAACAGCGGCGCAGCACCAAATAAATCCGCGTATTTCGCCAACTGGGCTGCCTTTTCCGCCGCACGAGCGTTCTCCTCTGCTAGGCGTGCCGCCTTACGGGCTTCCTTCTCGTTCTGCTTCGCCTGTTTCTTTTCGGCGTTCTTGGACGCAACGTTGCCGCTGGCGTCCTCTTGGCTGGCTGCTGTGTTTGATTTATCGGGATCCGACATTTCTCTTAAGTAAAAAAGTTTATATGCGCTTTGTTTGCTTCCTCACACCCTTGTGTGTGTGTGTGTGTGTGCGTTTACAAAAGGAAAAAAAAGGTAAAAGTAGAAAAGCCTGCCTCGACCCTCGTGCTCAGAGCGGTTGATGAAAAAAAAAAGTGAAAAGGGCACAAACACACAAATCAAACAAAAACAAGGGACGAAAGATACCCTGTAACCAGGAATCAGTGACCCACACACACGTACACAAACAGTCAATGCGCCCCCTCACTTGCGGCGGGAGCATTTCAACACAACCACGCACATTTATTCCCTGTGAAGAGCGCAGGCTCGCCCCTCACTCCACTTAGAGCCAAAAGCCCAAAGAGCAAGATCGAGTCCCACTTTTTTTTTTTCTGCTGTATTATTATTCTTTTTCTTCCCCCCCTCCCCCTCCGTGTCTGGTGGCGCCTAAATGTCACCACGACCCCGTCGCTGCTGTGCCCGCGCAACTGAGGCTTGTTGTTGGCTCATGGTACCCTCGTATTTTAGCTTTGGCCATCGCCGCTCCATCTCCGCGTCCTCAATTTGCACTGGCAGCGAATTCTCGTCGCCGCTGGCCAACTTGGACTCCTCTGTGTGAATTGCACGCTCGAGTTCGACCTCCGTCTGAAGCCGTCTTAACAAAAGGACTTTTTCCTCCCCCTCTGCGCCCCCGCCCCCGCCACCTGGCGCCTCCGTGAAACTGAGCCATTCGGAGAGGGAGTCCACAATGTGCCGCAGTCCAATTCGCTTCACGTAGTCCCGGTGAACCTCCGAAAGTTTCGTGAGCAACGCCGCCTCAGAAATCCCTTCCTCGGGGATCCATCGGTACAGTTCCAGAGCCACATCCAGTGGCTGACGATCCGAGGCGCGTCGAATGCGGGCTTTACTGGGGTCCTTCTCTGTTGGGTCGTCCACGATGAAGTAGGACGGGTACGAGGCAATCCACGCCAGCACCTTCTTCGGCAATGAGGGGCGCATCGCGGGAGCGACAAGTTCAAGCAACTCCTCCAAATTTAAAGTGCGATGCGGTGGAAACTTGTCAAAGAGCTCATTGATGACCTGTGTATGCGTGTACTCATACTGAACGGTCACGCCATGTGCCTGTGCAACATCACTCTTTCCATCCGTCGTGGTGGTCCCCTCTGGGCTGCCTGTCGTGCCAGACGCACCGGGGAGATGCTGCCCGAGGTTGGGGCCCGTCGCTGATGTTGGATCCACTTCGCCACCT